GTCTCCTTCCTTGGAGATCTTTAAGCAAAGGCTGGATGGCCATCTGTCAGGGATGCTTTGATTGTGATTGCAGTCAAGAAATCATAAGAAGATAAGAATGGGGAGGGCAGCTATGAGAGAACTAGAAAATATCCTAAAATGTAAAGACATACAACTAGCACAAAAGTTAGAATCATAAAAGCCATCGTATTCCCTATTACCATGTATGGATGTGAGAGCTGGACAGTTAAAAAAGATGACAGGAAGAAAATCAATGCATTTGATATAATGTGGTGCTGGAGAGGAGTGCTGAGGTTACCACGTACAGCCCAAAAGTCAAACAAATGGGTCCTAGAGCAGATCAAACCAGAAATCTCTCTGGAAGTCAAGATGACTAGACTGAGGCTGTCATACTTTGGCCACATCATGAGAAGGTACAACTCACTGGGGAGGGGGGAAATGCTGGGAAAGGTGGAGCGAAGCAGAAAGAGAGGAAGGCCGCATGCAAGATGGATGGACTCTATTAAGGAGGTCACAGGTATGAATTTGCAAGACCTGAGCAGAGCAGCAGAAGATAAGGAGTCTTGGAAATGTCTCATTTACAGGTTGCCATGGGTCAAGATCAACTCGAGGGTGGATTACAATTACAACAACAACAACAACAACAACAACAACAACAAGAAAAGGATGAGATTCAACCAAAGTTAAGGACATTTACATTTCACTGATTTCACGGCACATGCCAAGCACCAAATATAAATTTTTCTCCTTTGGGTTTAATTAGTTTAAAAAGCACTTTACTTTGTGTATATCACACACATTTGCCATTTCTATGTTCCAAGTTTTCCATATTGCGTGTAAAATGTTCTTCACAATTCATCTTTCACTACCTTTGCCAATGTTACAGGGTCTTTTGGCAAAGTTTCATGCATGATGGGTAACAATATAGTACTGTAGTAATTAAAATATGCAAATAAGCAGACCTAAAATGCACTCCCATATAAAACATATAACCCATGAAGATTCTGGATACCTCTGCCCACCAACTTCTCAAGTCCAAGAAAGTACCATAAGTAAACCACATGACTATGGCTTTTAAAACCAAGTTATCTGTACTGAAGAGGCTATACAGTCACCCCTCTGTTCTCGTGGACTTGAAGTCCACAGTTTTGCATATTCATGGAGGGGTGACCTCCGTTGAAATCAATGGGGTGTGCGTCTGCAGGAGCGCACCCAATTCAAGCCTATGGGGCTTGAATATTGGTGAGTCTCTGTTTTTGCGGGGTGGTGGTGGTCAGGAATGGATCCCCCGCGAAAACGGAGGGCCAATTGTATTATATTGTGCTTATAGTGCTGGGTGACAATGTCAAAAACCTGGGTTTAATACTTCTCTCAGGCCAGAAAATCAGTAGACCGAGCTTTCAACAATATGGATACTCACCATATGAACAGTGTACTGTGAGCTTTGCAAGGGAAAAAAAACTTCATGTAAGCCATCCTATCCAAATCAATGTACCAATATGCCAAATCAATTTAGGATCATGTTACTATGGCTGAGGAGGGATGGCTGTTTGAACCTGTTGACTTTTGTAAGTAAACTATATCATGTTAAAGAAATTAGCTTGCATCTTGCATTATCGTTATAGATTTGTATTCTAGAGTTACAGATCTGTTATTGCTCCTTATTCCCCTATGCCATGAATTCACCATCATGGCATTACAGTCATGATCGTAAATGTCCCCCAAATTCCACCTTAAACTCAAGGGAGCCAATCTGTGGTGGAGGTCTGTAGTATGGAAGAGTGGGGTGTATGGCCAACCCATCCCCAAGTGTGTTATGAATGCATTGTAGGATCTCAGCCACTGTGTGTTGTCAATGTTGGAAGTGGCTTTCAATTTTCTTACCTAATGAATTGTTTTAATGGCCATATTTCTGCCTAGAAAAGAAGGATTGTCATCAAAGTGCACTAAAAATGACAGTGTGGTTGCACAACAATCCCAAGACCCTTTATTTGAATAAATGTTGATAGGCCAGAGGAGTCTAAGATGTGTATTCAGTTTAGTTCAGAGAAGAGAATATCCTTTAATTATCTACCGTCTGGAAACATTTGCAAACAAACAATGGTTTCCTTCATAGACTCAAAGATCATGTGGCAAAATATTCATTAGCTCCTTCTCACTGGGAGTTTCTCTTCCAACTGAAGTTCTTACTCATTAGTGTGGAATCTAAGGTAAAGAATTGCCACTATTGACTCTTATTTATGGGTAAACACAGCAATTACACAGGGCATCCTCCTCCTTCTGACTTTGCTGTTTTGAATTAGGTAAACTTCTTCCACTGTATACAGTGTATGTATATAATGATTTATGGCCTTAGGGCAGGGGTAGGCAACCTTTTTGAGCCGTGGGTCGGGTTGCTGTCCTTCAGACAATTGGGGGGCCGAAGCACCAAAAATAAATAAATAAATAAATAAATAAATAAAAATTTAAAATTAAAAAAATTTAAAAAATTAAAAAATGTGCATGTACACTCTCTCAGCCCCAGAAAAGCCATGGCAAAACCCCTGTGGAGATTTTGCCAAGAAAATCCCAAGAACAAGTAATAACAACAATAATCAATATCATCATGGCGGGCGGCGGCGGCGGCGGCAGCAGCAGGACCAAAGGCCTCGGGGGGCCGCATCCGGCCCCCAGGCCTTAGGTTGCCTACCCCTGCCTTAGGGTCACCATAAGTCAGAAACAACTTGAAGGTGCACAGGGAGCCAGTGTGGTGTTGTGGTCTGAGCACTGGACTACACTCTGGAGACCAGGGTTCAAATCCCTGCTTGGTCATGGAAACTCACTGGGTGACTTTGGGCTAGTCACATTCTCCCAGCCTCAGGGGAAGGCAATGTGAAATCCCCTCTGAACAAATCTTGCCTTGAAAAATCCATGACAGATTCACCTTAGGGTCACCATAAGTTAGAAACGACTTGAAGGCACACAGCAACAATGATCAGTATTTGAGTGCTGGCATGCTGTATCAGTATGTGTCATCTGGGCCGGAATCCAACTGGATACTTCAGGGGGTTCCCATTGGTTCCACCAGAATTGGGGTCTCTCCAGCTCCTTCCCGCAGCCTCCTGCACACACTCCTTCAGGTTAGCCTGGCCTCAAGTCATTCAGGGCTTAAAAATCAGTGCTTGCAATTGGGCCAAGAAACAAAGTGGCAGAAAGCAGAGGTGACAAAGAACTGGCGTAACTAACAATCTATCCATCCTGTTTTGTCCTAGTAACAATTTAGTCACCCTGCTGACAAGATGAAATGCAGGGTGTTAGCCACCAAAAACAAGGGCAACAAACAAACATGGTCTATCACCTTGGGGGGGGGGCACTCTAGTAACTTGAGCCATTAAATATTGCACTCTTCCTGACTAGAGTTCTTGTGATATACTGTAGTAGCTCCTTGGGCTTTGGCAAGTTTAGCCAGTTCTTGTTGCCTCCAGATCCACTTGTTACATCCTTTTATGGGGCTTTTTTATTTGTTGGATTTGCACCAGGGATCTTCCAAAGGCATTTAAAAACTAGGGCAAGGTTTACTGAACTGGTCTTATGGTTGGAAGGGCAAATTTTCTCCTCACCAAATTTTGCTCCAGACTAAATTTCCCACCCCACAATCCAGAGCTTCTGTTCTATGACTGTAAAAACCTTCCAGGGATGCATCTACATGAAGTTTGACATCACTTCAAGTGCTGTAGCTCCATCCTATGGAATCCTGGGATTTGTAGATTTGCAAGGTCTTTAGCCTTCTGTGCCAAAGAGTGCTGGTGTCTCACAAAACTACAAATCCTAGTATTCTGTAGGCTGGAGCCATGGCAGTTAAAGTGGTGTCAAACTGCATTATTTCTACCGTGTAGATGCACCCCCACGTCTGCAAACCAGAGCTCAAGTTAATGCAAAACTTGATTGGGCTTTATATTGTCTGTTTTCTCTCATCAGACAGAAAGGGCCAGATGGGAAACCTTAGAGTTGAAGATCTACCTTCCCTACTTTTTTGTACATCATATGGGAACACACAAAACAAACAACATAGGACCCAGTCCTGTATGTTCTATTTCAACTTGAGCTTTTCATGGGAGAAGCAAGGAGTCTCAAAAGCAATGTAATTTAGCTATGTTTATACCGACAGTTATATAGGGCTGGATCCCAAACAATATCGATTTAAAAGTCCATACCTGCCACATATTGACAATGTTTGTTATTTCACAAATTAAAGCACCTAAGTCAGTATAAAAATATTGTCCAGTTCTGCATTGATTAAAATGTGATCTGCTTGTGCCACAAATCCTTATTACCATATACACTGTTCACCCTGTGTGTAAGAGCACTGATAATATACAGAGCTTACAGTCCTTAAACTCGCCACAGAAGCTTAAGAACACTGCTTTTAGCATGGGTGAAATGCTGTTATCCAAAGGTCATCTATTTCAGAAACAGGAAAATTCTTAAGCTACTTAAAATCTGATCTTGGTTCTTACTGATCTTGGACAGTTCCTGATGAACCTAATCCTCTGGGATTTGGGACAGAACACTGAGCCGGGCTTGGCTAGACAATAAACTGATATTAACAAAACTTTGACGCAAAGTCCCTACAGCAAGAAGGTATCTATCTCTATATATGTGTGCTCTTTGGCATCTACTACTGCTACTGTGCCAATGACTCGCAGGTCCAAAACACACTACAGAAATAATCCAGTTTGAGACCACTTTAACTTCCCTGGCTCAGTGCTAGGGAATTCTGGGAAGTGTAGTTTGTGAGACATTTAGTCTTCTCTGTCAGAGCTCTGGTGTCACAATCAACTACAATTCCAGGCTTCCCTAGCACTAAGCCAGGGCAGTTAAAGTGATCTCAAACTGGATTATTTTTGCAGTGTGTTTTGGATCACAAACTGGGAAAGAGGAAAGCAACATTTTATAATACGTTTTATAAGAGTTTCCCCCCCACACACTATTAAGGCACTACTTTTAAAAGGGTTAAAATTCTTTGCACCCTTCCTCTTTTCAGGGATAGTTAGCAGAAAATGGTTAATGCATTTAGTTACTTTTAAACTAAATTGTTAACTAAAAATCTAATTAAATTAAATTTATGTTACAAAGGGGTGACTATTAAGCTTAAGTTATTAAATGGCTGTTTAAATTTGAGTTAAAAGCCTTAACAGAACGAAGCAGAAAAGTGTCATCTATCATTTTACCCTACTGCCTGTCCCTGTTTTGAGCTTGGGACAAAAGGAAATTGTTGCAAGAATTTTTGAAGAACCCATTTCTCACCCACCCCACCAAAAAAGCCTTTGTCTTGATTTCCTCTCCTCCCTCCCTTATAATCTTATCTCTTTATCTACCCTTTCTTTAGTTTACTAATTCCCATTTGATCCTCAACAAAAGTCCAAGGCTTCAGAACTTAAAAATTTAAGGACAAGGAGCCTGAGTGTGCTTCCTGGACAGGAGGACCACCTAAATGCAAAGAAGACTCTTCTGTTCCAAGCTGTTCCTACTACATGTTTGTTTAAAACCTTGGAGCCAAGTAAACAATCTAGTCGTGAACTAAAATAGGTTGTTTGGATCTTGCGACCTAAATATTCAAATTCCTCAATTCTGAGGCACTAAAAAAAAATACAGTAAAACCATTTTGCAAAAATCCAAAGAGAACTGGGTTTTTGGTAAAGAACCATCTGGGAAATGTAAATTTTGTTGGTTCTTTAGCACTTTAGTTCTTTAGCTGCTCATGTAATGAATTAATAATTCTGGAATTAAGTTAATACTGAAAGGCCAAGTTAAAAACAAATTTATCTCTTTTTGTTAGAAAATTTCTAATATCTAATTGGTGACAGTTTAGTTATTTTATTTTATTTTATTTATTTGGAGTATTTATACCCCACTCTTCAGCCAAAAGGCTACCAGAATGGCTTACAAATGGTTAATCAGACATTTCCCAGCCCTCGACTTACAATCTAAAAAGACAAGACACAAAACTGGTGGTGGGGAAGGCAAATAAGTCCAAACGGTTAATTCATTTCTCTGCCTCTTTCCAGCATCTATCTTCATACTTCATTCCATTTCACTAGTTCCAAGTCCTAGATTTCTGAACTTTCAAGAAATCCACTTCATATAAGAAACAGTGTGCATGTTTGGATAGTGCCCAGTGTTTTTAACATGCTAGTCTTGTATTCAAATCCTTAACCTACCAAGGAACCTACCTACCTACTTTCTTTCAGTTAGTCTCAAAGGTACTACAAGATCTCTCGACATACTGATTCTACAAACTAACACAGCTATATCTTTGAATTAGATAGATAGATAGATAGATAGTGTGTCTGTGTGTGCGTGCATTAAATTTAAATTTATATATATATTTAATTTAAATTCTCACAGAAGACAAGCCCATTATTTCTACTATACTGTATTGCAGTTCATCTTGCTGAAAGAAGTAGTGTGATCCTATACAAGTCTTGTTGTTTGCATGCAAGTCATTTCTCATATGGTGACCGTAAGATGAAGGGGTTTTCTTGGAAGAATTTGTTCAGAGCGGATTTGCCCTTGCCTTCCCCTGAGGTTGAGAAAATGTGCCCAAGTTCACCTAGTGGGTTCCCACAGTCTCTCCGTGTCCTAGTCCAACACTCAAACCATTATATCACACAGGGTCTCCATACATGTAGTGATGTTGTGCGACTTCATTTCTGACTTATAGCAACCCTTAGTTAGGCAAGATTTGTTCAGAGGAGGTCTGCCATTGCCTTCCCCTGAGGCTGAGAGAGTGTGACTTGCCCAAGGTCACCCAGTGGGTTCCCATGGCTGAGCTGGGAATTGAACCTTGGTCTCCAGAGATGTAGTCCAACACTCAAACCTCTACACCACACTGGCTCTCCCATATCCATGCCTACTCAGAAGTAATTCTCACTTGGCTCAGTAAACCCTAATTTCCATCCGCATAAATGCTGCCACTCTTGATATTCTGGGGACACTCTTCTCCTGATGCTACAAGCAATCTGACTGGGAAGTGTCAAACAGGTTCTCCAGCAAGATGTCTCCCCGGTGGATCATCACAGATTACACAACCTAAATATAGTGTCACTAGGGCTTCTGCCCAGTTAAGTGGGTATTTATTTGCTAATCACTGTAAGCATGCATGGCCTTTTACACAGGAAGAGAGAACTGGTCCCTGCCCCAAACAGCTTACTATATCTGAGGCTGTATCCACACTACAGAAATAATCCAGTTTGAAACCACTTTAACTGCCACGGCTCCATGCTATGGAATTCTGGGGACTGTAGCTTTTTTTAGATTTTTAGCCTTCTCTGTCAGAGAGCTCTAGTGTCACAACAAACTACAAATCCCACGATTCCATCGCACTGAGCCATGGTAGTTAAAGTGGTGGATTATTTCTGCAGTGTGGATGCAGCCATACTCAATACTGGTGAAATGCAGAAGCAGAAAGGAGAGGCTGGTGAGTAAAGGGGCAAAACAGAACACATGGGAGCTAGACAAATCTACTTTTTGTACTACAATTCCCAGAATCCCCAAGGACCTGGTGCTTCTGCTAGCTAGGGATTTATGTTTGCCAAGAAAACCCCTGGATAGGTTTGCCTTAGGGTCACCATAAATGACTTGAAGGTATACAATAGCAAAGCTCAAAAAGAGCCAGCATGGTCCAGTGGTTTGAGTGTTGACTACAACTCTAGAGACCAGGGTTCGAATCCCGGCTCAGCCAGGTAAACCCACTGGGTGACCTTGGACAAGTCATATTCTCTCAGCCTTAGAGGATGGCAATGGCAAACCCCTTATGAAGAAATTTGCCAAGAAAACCTCAGGATAGGTTGGCATTAGGGCCGCCATAAGTTAGAAATGACTTGAAGGCACACAACAACAACAACAACAACAATTTTTTTTAAAAAGTGCTCAGAAGTACTCTTACTTCCCGATCCAGGAGCAACTCAGAGCACTTTATGCGCCTAATAAGCCACAAACAGTTCCAAAACCTCAGGACAAAGCCGCTCCATCTCAAATCCGAGGGAAGGAGGTGGTTTGAGCCTTGGACTATGACTCTGGAGACCAGGGTTCTATTCCTGCTCAGCCATAAAAACCCACTGGGTGACCTTGGCCAAGTCACACTCTCTCAGCCTCAGGGGAAGGACAATGGCAAACCTCCTCTTGAATAAATTTTGCCAAGAAAGCCCCATGATAGGTTCGCCTATAAGTTGCTCTAAGTCAGAAAGGACTTGAAGTCACACAACAACAACAACAACCATAGCCAAAGTTTCACTAAGGCTGCATCCGTACTACAGAAATAATCCAGTTTATGACTGCTGTAACTGCCCTGTCTCAGTGCTAGGGAATGCTGGGAACTGTAGTCTGTTGTAGCACCAGAGCTCTTTGAGAAGGATAAAAGTCTCACAAAATTACAAATCCCAGAATTCCATAGCAATGAAGGTATGGCAGTTAAAGTGGTGTCAAACTGGATTATGCCTGCAGTGGAGATGCAGCCTAATAAGGTCCAAAATATACTGCAGAAATAATCCAGTTTGAGATTATTTCCTAACTGTTCTGCCTCAATGCTGGGATTCATAGTTCGTTGTGGCACCAGAACTCTCTCTGACAGAGAAGGCTAAACGTCTCACAAAACAAGTTTCCAAAATTCCCTAGCATTGAGCCAGGGCAGTTAAAGCGGTCTCAAACTAGATTAATTCTGCAGTGTGTCTTGGACCTAAGACACTAAGGTGACTTGAAGGCGCTCAAAAAGCATAAATGAGAAATAGGATGTTATCACACATGGGCCAGTTTCGTTGTTAAAGGGATAATAAAGCGGAAATGAAGCATCCCGAAAAGAAAGCGAAAATAGAGCTTACTTGCTCAAAAGCTTTTCACACGTAATTACAGATAGAGAGAGAGAGCCAGCATGGTGTAATGAACGGTTCAAGTATTGTGAAGT